TATTTCTTCAGCACAAAGGTAGCAAGAACATATCTCCCGTCTTAAAAACTATACATATAAAAGATCCTTTGTATTCGTGCTTGGCACATTATCACTCCTATATGGAATATATTCAGAAAGCACCGATGCATGAATAATTTCCTTAAAAATGACCTTCCCGCATTAATATTTTCTACGATTTTGCAGCCGTTGTGATATAGAACCTCGGTCTTGGACATTACCGTAGAAATATAATTCTCAATTAAAGAACTCATTTTTTCTCCCTCTCCTCGCTAACGAATTCATTTTAAAGCCGGAGCGATGAAATACGCTGCTGAATAAAAGAAACCAGCCCAGAAATAATACAGATTTTTATGGCGAAGCAACAATTTGTTCCCTCCACTCGCTGGCAATAAATAAGTTTTATCTATGTTTTGGTGAGTGTTTGAATGTCTTTGAAATCCGACTATTTCTGTTCAAGGTGAACCGAGTTACAATATATACAATTTATGTCCCCCCTCTACAATTCAGACTTGTTAGGCATAATTCTTGTTGCAGTCTCTTTATTTTTTTAAGGCCATATTGGCTCATGCATGCGCTCACACACATGACCTGCTGCAAAGAAATGAGCGAAATTGTCTGAAAATCTACTTTGAGTTTGCATTTACAAGATATATGTGTCCACACGACAACCCACTCGTTCGCTGGAGCAGAGGAAACGGAGAGAAATGTGCCATCCTGTGAAATAAAATAATGCTATTAATTACTAATTAAATAATAAAAACAATAAAAAGCAAAGACTGCGGTAAAATAGGAGAAAGAAAGTCAATTTTAACAGAAACCTATATTTAAGCCCTACAAAGCCTGCAATTTGTGCCAACTACTATTTCCTTTGCATCTGTAGACTTAGATCTCTCTGAGGTTTTCTGGAAAGGGGGAAGAAGGCAGAACCGCGGCGTATTTCTATAGAAACATCGGCTTGTTCCTTCTTTCCCTTCTGTCCAGATCAAGCAAAATCTGGGGTAAATAAATAAATAAATAAAAGTGTCCGACTGGATGAATTTTCTCCTAACTGTTGTGCAAGACCTCAATCCCCTAAGCGCTTATCTTTCCTTGTGAACATCACAACACCTTCCTTGAGGATGCAGGGACATTATAGCGAAAGGTGGCAATTAATTAGCCTTCAGAGCTTTAATTAGATTCTATCACAGGAGGAAAAAATGTTAATAAATTTAGCTGAGCCCTTGACAGAGCCTCCCAGTTAGCTACAGTCATAGAGCTACGCTGAGCTCCCAGTTACTGGGATCGGGGCAGGATGAGGCCTTTGGCTAGGGGGGAAAAAAAGGCAGTTCAGCCAAGTCAGTTCCAATGCTTACCTTTGACACTTCTTTGATTAAAATCTCTCATAGATCTTTAAAAGGATTTCTAATGCTTTATATAAAAATATCCGATTAAGGAAATCGTCATCCAATTTATTTCAGTTGGCCTGTCTTTTTTTTCTTTTCTTTTCTTTTTTTTTTATTTTTAAAGAGGGATGTGTTGCTGTGAAATGATTTTCTGGGGAATTTACAGGACGAAATGCCTTAATGCCAATCCTGATAACCATAATCATAGCAATAAGCATAAACGTGCTGCATCCTAAACTCATCCCAATATATTTCCTACTAAAGAGCTGCATTTTTGCCTCTCGTTCTCGTCTTGATGTCAGACCCAAGGCATCCTTGACACTCCTCCAGTTCCTATGCTTATAGGGCAATCCATCCGTACAGTATCTCTACTATGTCCATAATGACTGTGTGAGCAAGGAGCTACTCCAAAGGAATTTCCCCCTCTTATATACCCCAGAAGAGACAAAAGAATTGCAATTAGCCACCGTTCAAGCAGTCCTGAGCTGCTGCTTTTTT